ATATTTAACACATAGTGAGAACTGCTACTATTTATCTCTCAATATTGTCTGTAAAAAACGTGGTAAAAGTTATTCTTTCAGTGAGACAACAGAGCAAGCTTCTACAGTTGCACTACGTTTTGATAACAGTTAAATATTATTTTGAAAATAACATATATTTCAATGTTGATGAACTTCATACTTTTCATTCATAATCTGATTGTCTTTGTAGCTCACTGTTGAAATAAAAAAAAAACATTACAATTACAAAATAATTATATCTACAGCCCCTAAACACACAAACACACCGCTTTCATAAATAACACACTTGTTCTGCAATAATATGTTTTATGTTTCCTGTAATTTTTGTTAGGAAAGGACATGCCTGAAAGACACGACATGTTCTCCTTCTCTGAGGGTCAAGAAGAACATCCAAGAGGAAAATTAAAAGCTGATGTTATGAGATTTTAAGACCAGTACACTAAGAAACTACTTTTATTGTAAAAACAGTCAGCTGATCGAATTCACCTATTTCCACATCTACACTCCATCAGCTGATTATTTCTATTTGCCCCGCAGAGTTTGCAACGTCACAAATAAATACGGCCAATCTTCAGTCAGTTGTGAATGTGTAATCTAACATTTTCAGTAAGAATAATGGACAAAAGGAGTGCAAATACAAATACAATTTATTGAAATGTGAACCAAAAGTTAATCAAATGTTTTACAGTAAATAAAAAGTACATATGGACAGAAGGTGTAAACCTATTAAATGTATAAGTACACATTTAGTCAAATAAAGTGACAGACTAGGCCTGTGCAGTTGGTATCAGCTTTGCCCAGCATGGGCTCCTCCATCAGGCCTGGTCCCCCTCGCAGAGGAAAGACCCTCAGTCCACTCCAAACCAACAGACAGGACGTCCATCACACGGAGGTTTCTCCCTGAAGTCTCTGCAGCTTTCTGGACACCACGCTGTCTCAATCCGTCCACACTGAATATGTGCTTTAGACAATAAGAAACATAAAGTTGAGAGTTGAGTTGCTCAGTTTTTTTTGATTGTCAATACTATTACTGTATAACTAATATATCAGGTTAAGAGGCACATTCAAATAAAGATTGGTCTTTAAATACATGTTGTCTTTTGAATTGTTTGTCTAAAGTCAAGGATCTGGAACTGGTACTTAGTTTTAATGATACAGTCTGGTTATTATGCTGTTTGGAGGAGGCCTCACAGGTAAGAGCACTAACTAGCTACCATCACATGTACCTTAGCTTGACTCAAATGTATTAAATGTATAATTAAGTGATATCAAAATATAAATAACTTGAAATAATAAATGTGCTTGATTCCAGTGTTGAATTTAGCACAATTGCATACAAACGTTAAGGGATTTTAGGATTCTGAAGTATTATGCTAAAAACTCAATAACTTAGATTATTATTTATAGATTTGCTGAAGAGTTTCATGTCCGCTTACCTTGGAAACGTAAAATGCGACGGCAGTGTGCAGATGGAGAGCATGTTAGCTTAGCTTGGTAGCTTCAGCTAGCTCTGGAACTTCCAGCTCGGTGGCAGGAGGTACCGCCTCTTTGCCCTTATTTGGAGCAGGCGGGAGTTGAACTCTGACGTCACTGTCGAGCCGTTGGTGGCCGACTCCGCCTACTAAGGGCTTCTCTGCAACTCTGCAGAATCCTATGGGTGACATCACGGACCCTACGTCCATATATATACAGTCTATGGTTCACACATGAGAAACTGTGTATGCTCTTTACATAGATTCATGTCTCAAGTGTGCCACTTGATATACGATACAGTCTGACAGAATGCAAACATGGTTGTATCTTTAATCCTAGCAGCAATAAAGAAGCAAGACAAATCGGCAAGCATTACAGTTTCCTGTTACTTTACAGACTTTTAGTTTGGCATTTTTGGTAAAGCTGGAGAAAAACTATATACATTGTTTTGTTCAGTTATGGTCCAAATCTTGACCGATTCATTACAAACGCAGGGTAAGTACATTTTAAGTCATATTGACTGACTTTATCTTGCATCATATTTACTACATGCATCCATATGGGGCAATACATATTAATATGCTCATTTATCTTCAATCACTTTAATCGAAAACCACTCAAGAGCTCATAAAGAAATAATAGATTCTGAGCATTACTAGTTCAGATCTTGACCACAATGCACTATTTGAAATTGAATGAAAGAGAAAATAGTGTGTGCATCAGCCCCGTGATTTGGACTTTGAACTGTTTTTTACTTGGCCCATGTTCCACCCTTCGACCAAATGTCCCTAGTTATGCAGACAAACAAACACATGTAATATTAATGACTAAGAAGAAACAGGACAGAAGAAGCATTGTTCTCTTTGATGAGACAGTGGGATAGCTACTGGGTCACGTACTCTTTAGCGATGCTAATGCCATTGTTGGTCGGCTGTCTGTCTGTGAGTCTACCACTCTGGTCATGATCGACAAATCTTAACATTACTGGATGGATTGCCATAACATTTGGTACAGATAGTCATGGTCCCTAGGGTTAGGGTTAGGGGTTGATCTTAATCTCTGCATTTCCTAAAGCACCATTATGACGGTTTCCTGAAGAGTTAATGAGCCTGAGTTTGCCTTTTTTGATGAGTAACTGCTAACATCCTTAAGTAAGATGGATAATAATGTTAACATTACCTGTGTTGTGTTCAAAATTCCAGGAAAGATAGACAACATCTAAGTTTAACTATTTATTATGAGAGAGCTAAATATATATATATATATATATATATTCACTTGGCCAAGGACTCCGTCACGTCATAGAAATTATAGGCAGCAAAGCTGTAATCTGTAACCACTATTTCCGGAAAGAGCCACGAACCTCGTGCGTGCATACATTTGTATCACACAGGGCGTTGCCCGTACATTTATGATTGGTCAAGACTAGCTGAAGAGATACCATGGTTTGGACTTGGTTCTCTTTGGTAGGGGCACAGACTTTGAAAAAAGTCTCTTGGCAACACGATCCTCCAATCAGCATTCGGCCGGCCTATGGAAGTCCCTCCCTACTCTGGCACCATCATACGTCATTAAAGAAAAAGCGGAATCTTCATAAGGCTGCTTCCTAGCTATGTTTGGGAGCGGAGCTCACCCAAAGCTCAAGGCCGGAGTGATGTCCTGTTTATGAATAACTTTTTGTACTCTTCCAGTGTCTTCACCTGACCTTGCTACATTAGTATTGCAAGCTGAAAACTTTCTTCTGACTATTCCCTTCGTTGGTATCTAACCCATCAGAACCTGGGATTAGTGATTGTGTCTATTTATTTTATAGTCATAGCAATCTCATGAGCACAATAAGCATATCATGTAATAATAAGAATCCCTCACCAAAATTAGACTCCACACCTGCCGTCAGCATGTTCAATTGTCATTGTGAACATGTAAACACAGCTTTACAGTCTCGTATCCGGCTGTACACAAAATAGGACTCAAAGGCAACATGCTGATACATAGTGTTATGCCACTCGCCAAAGAAACATTGCTTTGCAACCTTTTTTATGTAAGTTAACTGATGGAGTTGCTATATAAATAGTTGTAATTCACAGCCATTTAGTGAATAAACAGAGTGAATGACTGGATACATTTTAAAGTCATTTTGTGAATAAACTCTACCTTGAATTAATTAATGGGTTGAATTAAGTTGAGTTATTCAACACTGCTGTTGGAGTCAGAATACCTTTCCATTCTTATTTCAGAATCAAGGATGACTTCCTTATATGGCCTCAGTCATTGTGTGGGGTGTGCAGAATGTGTGTGCTTAACCCTGTGTGTGTTTGTTTGAGAGAAAAAACAGTCTGATGATACAATCATTGAATGAATGAATGAATGCTTGAATGTGTTTTTGAAAGAATAAATGCAGACTTTATGAAGTTCCACATAGCAGAAGCATTTAGTTTCAAAGCAGCTTCTTTAAGAGATTTGTTTAAATGTAGCCATACAAAATTACTTTGTGGACGTGTGGTGATTGTTCATCTTGAACAGGATATTAACCCCTACTTTTTATTAATTGTATTGATTGTATTCATCCAATACATGTTTTTGTGATGTACAATGTGCTTCTTTGATTATTTAAACACCGCCCAAACTTGTTAGTATTTCCTGCTGTTCCAGATATCAAACCACAATTATAACAATTGTGTTTGATATGCTAAATGCTAATGCCTACAGGCTAACAACATGCACACATTGAAAGAGAGTTACATTTGCTAATTAACACTAAGTATAAAGTGTTTGAAAAATTGAAATATTTACCTGCAGACAATGCTAAAGGCTCTTCAAAGTCATTAGGATTCATCCTCTGGGGACCACGTTTGTCTATAAAAAAAAGTAATGTCAATTTATCCAATAGTTTTACTATAAGTTTTCCATGGAAACGCAGGAACTGATCATCTTGTTAGGCTTGTGACAGCGCTAAGGCGGGGCTAACTAGACCAATAAGTGGGGGTGCTAAGAAAATAGTCGAGTTTCAGGACTTCAGTTTCTTTATAAGGAAGTTCTCGTTGTTTTCCATATAATCCGATCTAGCACAAAGTATATTACAATTATATGCAGTTTTAACTGAGTTTTGCCATAGAATATTCAACAAATGTAACAAACAAACATTTAGCATGATCCACCAAAAGAGATGCAAAATGATTCAGTTATAGCCATTTAATAAATGGGGTGAAGCCTGCGAGCTAGTTCAGGCAGTCAACTCGAGCACCAATTATACATTTACACGCAACACGCCTCGTCCCTCTTACAACCAACCAAACACATTCTTCTAAACATGCCGCTCTATTTAAGCTGCCAGGTCTTCCTGCCTCTGCCTCGCTAACGCTGCTGCTTCCACACTGCTGCTGCTCGCCTGCCCCCCCACCACCCCAGCCTCCACCTGTAGGCTCGGGGGATAGTTACTTAATCATCACCCAATGTTCTATGCACATCTGTGGAGTGATGAGGCCCGAGCCAGACGCCAAACTCAAACTATACTCTGCTTCTAATAAACATGTCAAAGAGAAACACGTGAGTTGTCTGACTGAAATAAAGTTTAGAAAAACAAACATTTCAGCATCATAATACACAAAGAAACAACACATCAACTGTTTGGAGTTGAGCAGACTATAGGTCTATAATGGTCACTCACAACTTAACATTGATTTAAAAGATTATTGTTGATGACGAACTACCAACATCGGTGAGGGATAGTGTCCTGATTCACAGTAGAACATTCGGAACGAGGCTTCGACGGGCGCACTATTCAAAATTGCCCAACCACTTAATTTCACATGAAATATTTATATTACATAAATCAGTGACTCACCAGTGTTGTTTTAAAAAACGACGATGCGTCTGTTGTTGTGGTTCAGTGCAAACTTTGCGCTGTATGCTGGCAATGGGCATAGATGCATATCTTACAACGGTGGTACGACATTATGTGAGTAATTTCAAGTGTTTCTCGGAAAAATTCGATATTTGTGTATTAGTGGATTGAGGAGTTGTTCCGACTATAATTTTCATTAACTTTTGAGAGGTAGGCCAATATGGAAACAACATAGATGGTACTTTTATTTTCCTTTTGTTATTTTATTGTTCAGAGAATAAAAAAAACACATTGATAGCTGTTGCATTAGCCTACAGTATGTCACTTTTTGACACCTGACGGGGCTGAACCGGGGCAACCCGTATTTGTGACGGGGCTTTAGTCCAAGTTACAGCCCCTACACACGGCGGCGTGCGTTGCCGCTTCAACGCTTCTGCCCATTCACTTTGAATGGGGTGACGTCACGATTTGCCGAACTGCATTGTGGGAGCAAAGCGTAGCTTCTCTCGCGGTGCTCGCTGCAAAAGTAGAGCAATGTTCTACTTTTGCCGCCTCGATGGAGGCGTCAGCCAATCAAATCCCGTTTATGCAAATCTGCCAGTACAAGCACTAGCCAATCAAACTGCGTGTATGCTGGGAGAGCCAGACCGCAGTTAATTTCCTCATATGCCAAAATATTTAGGAGAAAATAATCATAGCGGTAGGGAATCACCCGGTGCTTTTTATGATCAGTTCCTGTTCACCTACCGGGATACAAACCGGAGGAGCCAGGCATGGAGGGAGGTGGCAGAGACAGTGGGTGAAACTGGTAGGTTTTCGCCTGTTTGGGGAGTTTATATCCAGTGGGGCAAAAAAGTATTTAATCAGACACCAAGTGTGGAAGTTCTCCCACTTAAAAAGATGAGAGAGGCCTGTAATTTCCATCCTCGGTATACCTCAACTATGAGAGAACAAAATGAAAGAAAAAAATCCAAGAAAATCACATTGTTTGTATTTTTAAAGACTTTATTTGCAAATTATGTTGGAAAATAAGTATTTGGTCAATAACAAAAGTTCATCTCAATACTTTNAATAGCACTATAGACATTAATGTCATAAATGTTCATCATATAAAGTGTGACATGTAAAACCTATGCAATTGACAGGAGAGATTCATGTGATTGGTTGTTGGTCGCGTTGCTCGCATAAACTCCCCAAGCTCAAGACACGCCCACCGCCAAGCGGCAACGCACGCCGCCGTGTGTAGGGGCCGTTAGCCCCGGTGTAGCGCCGTCCTTGCACCAAAGTCATTAAGGTTCATCCACAATCCTCAGACCATCTATGTATATTCAAAAAGTCATGCCAGTTCACCAAATAGTATTTGACTTAAACTGTTACAGTTGAGACCAAAGGGCTGGACTGAATGCGTAACATTGCCATACATAGATCCTCACCTCGCAGCATGGCTAATAATGTAAGATATCTTCAAACAGTGGGGATATATAAGCTCTGTGACAAAGCCAGAATACTTGAAAGGAATAGTGCAAACAATGTATGATGTATAGAACCAAAAACATTGTATTTTCTTGCCAGGAATTGTAGAGTCAATGATGGCAATAAGACAGCAGATTAGAGCAAGAAGGGACAGCTGGATTCATCCCAATCATTTTGATATGAGCACTAGTTTGGGATTCAGCAGTGTCTATCAAATCTCTCATGCTCTATTAGTCCGTCAGTTAGCCAATTAGCACTTGGTAGGTTCCCAGATCTCTTCTCATTCTCTTTCCCTGTCCCTGTAAAGTGGTGTAAAGCCAACCAGCTTGCAGCATCGACTTTTTTCTTGTATGTTATCCACAGAGACCGAATCAGAGTGGTGCTACTTAAACGTGGGGAAAATTCATCTTCTGATCCTTGTGCACAAATTTGACCTGATGCCATCTGCAGTCCTCAAGAGATCAAAGGTTGGTCCCGCAGCTATGAATTATACATCATGAGACATGTGGCATGTCAGGGGTTATTCACGTATGTAAGCTAAGTAGATCCACTGGGGTAGCACAGGCATCCCCAACAGAATGCAAAGCTCTGCAGCATTTACAGTTCAAAATGTACATGTTCTGTGAAAAAGCATGTGGAAATCCATACATTAGTTGAACTCTAATAGGAAGAATGCTGGTAAGTGGACTCTGACTGAGACAGGTGCAGCTGGGACCTTTGCTGTGTGCAAGAAAACAGAAAACAGTTTCCCCAGGAGAAACACCCTATGATGCCTCAGAAGAGAAGGTCCGGGAGACCTTGTCAGAAAGTATATCAACCAAGAAAATGAGCTTGTTAACATATTACGAGGGTTGGCAATACATGGTTTTAGTCGTGCATGCAGGTTTTCAGCCCCTCTGCAGTTTTTACTTTTTACTTATATTTTTGTTGCACAATTTACCATTTTTCAAAAGGAACAAATATCTTAAAATTCAAGGTGAAACTGTGACACTTGGATACAATTTGAATGTGCCTCAACTGCAAAGGCGATCATAGACCGGGCTAGATGGTTGCAAAAATGCAACCATAATGCTAATAGTTGGATTTCTCTAAAATGTCAACTATAAAATCTCTTCCAGTCATTGTTGCTCTTTTGAAACTCTCTGAGGCCATCAGAGCCAGAAGCAGCTGAATAAGTGAAAAGGAACAGGTTGAGAATAGAAGACGCCACCTGCTTGGCGGAAGGAAAGGCGTCTGACATCAATGTAAATCCATTTACACACTGCAGGGTTAATTGCCTTGAGCTATACACATGAGTATCAGCTGCAGTAGAGGAGAAAGAAGACACGCTGGCACTTGGAGTACATACATAAAGTGTGTCTGGGAATACAAGGATCAACCAAGCAGCGTTTTCAATCAAGTCCAATGTGGTGATGGTCTCGCTGCACCTAATGAAAATGTGTGCAAATTACATTTGTTTTCGTACGAAGAAGAGTTGGAACTGAGCTCCTTTTACTAGCTTCCCAAAAACCAATAAAGATGAAAGAGAGCAGGTGATGTAATGCTTTGATGTTCATCCTCCTCTTTAATGTGAATTACTTCAAGACTAGACCAGTTCAATTTGAATAAACAACGTGCTTCCACAGTTGTTGAAAGAAAATGTTAATAGAACCAGTTGAATGGATGTAAATGATATCATATGTATACATTTTTGTGTAGGGGGACTGTTTGTAAAGGTTTATACACTGTCCATGTTTTGCAATGAGTCAAATGAACTCAAATGTTTGTATCTCCAAATTTCAGACCTGTAATTTCTGATAGCAAGTTTTAGAGGGTTGATAGTCAATGTGATTCTGTATTCGGATACGCGTTCTTCGTATACACTGAAAGCAATGCTAATGCTACATCTATAAGCCTTCTGCTTACTCATGTTCAATGTGATGGTCAGGAGGCAAACATCATTTTTGAAATGTGGCTTTTTGTTCTAATTCTGCTAATATGCTAGCTTGTTTTCCACACTTCCCGTCCTGTGCACGTGTTTAACGAAATATAACTGTTATATGTTTTGTTCTAAAAACACATGTCGATAGATGCCGTTAAGAGAAAGATAACCTTTAGCATGTACAAACCCACATGTAGAAATTCCCATGTAAACACAAAGAGTAACTTGGCACAGGAGAGCTAGTGTGTGTGGACCAAAGCAACGCTAAAGAAGCTGCCCCAGGGCAAACCTTTGCCCGCTGCTTGCTGTTAGCTGGTACTACTGCAGTGAATAGATTAGGGTTCACATGTAAACAGGCAAAAAGAATGGAGAAGCTAATATAACTCTTTAGCTCAAAGACTTTGCATGCTGGAGGCTACGTTGCCTGCATTGAAGCTACGCCAAGTGTGTGGGCATGTGTTTTCGCAACCGTGTTTGCATACATACAGTGCTTTTGGAGTGTATCGGAGTGTAGGTGGGTGAAAGAGAGATGGAGAAACAGTGCAAGTGCACCATGATGGAATCCATTAGGTAAGACTGAGGGGGGATCTGACAGCTGGGCTTTAACAGAGGCTTGAGCGCTCTTCCACCCAGCGGGGAATCGAGGAGTCTGTGAGCATACATGCATATGCAGGAGTCTGTGTCTACGTGTAATTCCTAAGTGATCTTCTTTTTCTGTGTGTCAGCTCTACAGGGGGACTGCCACCTGCAAACTCTTGTCCCTGACAGCTGTCGCGCTTTAACCATGTTGTATGTGCTTGTAGGTGTTTGCATACTGCCTTGCGTGCTTAGAAACGTTAGTGAATGTTTGCATGTGTACTTCACTCATCTTAATCCAGCATGGCAGGAAAACACATTGAACAAGGTCGGCTACAGTGTGAAACAGTCAGGATAAAACGTAAAGCATAAGGTGTTTCTGACAAATTCATTCAACATACAGTACCAGCCTAAAGGATCAAGGTCTTCTCCTGTTTGTCACAAATAAATAAACAGGAAATGTATTGTCTCAGTCAACTGCATTGATGCTGGTAACTTTTTTGCCAATAGCAATAATGGCTATAAGCTAACATCACTTTCCCACCGCAACCTGACAACATCTGTGGGACTAAAGGACAAAAGGGCCAAAGAACATCATGCAACATGGCTGCCGCTAGTCGTTGAAACTGAAACCTGTTAAAACAACTGATTATCTTCTTAAAGGAGAGGTGTCATGGCCATTTCCACTGATCATAATTCCATTGTTGAGGTATACTAAAATATAAAAATACTGTGCAATTTTCCAAACTCACATTGGTTTCGCATACAGCATCTCTGTAAAGTATGTGTATTCAGAAGTATTCCTGGTTTCGCATACAGCATCTCTGTAAAGTATGTGTATTCAGAAGTATTCACTTTCTCCACTAAACAGCTCGCTGCAGCTCCCCCCTCCGTGATTTCCTTGTTTAGGGATACACAGCCAAACACAGCCAAACTCAACCTGAACACACACAAAGTCACAGCCGAAATAAAAACAATAAGTGCGGGTTGATATTGAGTAAGAAAAAGGTTTATTGGTTGATAAACTCTGTGAGAATGGGTCTGCAGAGAGAATTTCGCGCGATCCCAACTGTCTGTTATCAGCCTGCAGCACGGAGCAGAAATCAGCAGGGCTGTCTGCACTGAGTGTCTGTGTGGTTTGGTCAATTTGGACCAATCAGCGGGGGCTTAACGTAACGGCTCCGCGGACGTAACGTAACGGCTCCACGGATTGGCCCATTTAGTTCCGGGTACGTGCTTTCGTAAGCACGTACCCGGAAGAATCAAATGGATGATGACGTCATGATGACGTTTCACCAACGAGGCGTTTTTGGGGAGGTATTTTCTGTTTTAGAGTTTTACTCGCTACAGGCTGTAGCGAGTAAAACTCTAAAACAGAAAATACCTCCCCAAAAACGCCTCGTTGGTGAAACGTCATCATGACGTCATCATCCATTTGATTCTTCCGGGTNATTGCAAGAGCCTGGAGGAAGGCGGGATCTGAAATTACAGGAGAGTTAAGATGTGCCAAACCAAAAAACAACAATAATATGTGTCTAACTTGTGACAGAACCCAGAGTTGGGTGTAACGCGTTACTGTAATAATATTACTTTTGTCGGTAAGAAGTAGTGTAACGCGATAATTTTATAATTCAGTAATCACACTACAGTTACTAACATTCCCCCGACACGCGTTACTTCGTTACTTACTAAAATCAGTCATAATCACACTGAAAGATGAGAGGGGTTTCCGCCGCAGGTTTATATGTAGGTAATCTGCGCGACTTGCACGTCCACATCTCTACGTGCAGTGCTGCATAAACATTGCTGAGTCAGCGATAATTTTCGAGGGGTGGAGGTATGCCCATTATTTTGAGTTTGTCCGAAGAATAGACAGGAATGTGACGGTGAGGTGCAAACTGTGTCCAGGCCAGAAGCTGTTATCCACTGCTGTAAACACCACGTCAAACCTCAACAAACACCTGCAAATAACACATGCTAAGGTGAAGCTAATAGCTAAGGACCTCCGAACCCAGAGTGAGGATGCTGTGAGTGCGCCGCCGCTGACCCCGAAGCAACAACAATTAGAATTTGGAGGACCGGTAACCAAAGCAGAGATGGACAGGCTTGTATCCTTAATATTAGAGGAAATGTTGCCCATTTGCACAGTGGAATCCCCATCGTTCAGAGATATACTGCGCAAAATACAGATAGCAGGAGAGAGAGGACAGCCATGGTCAGATAGGAAAACATTCAGGAGCTATCTGGATGAGTCTTAGAGAAGACATTTGAAACTTTATCCGTCTGCGTGATCTGCCTGTAGGGAGGGGCGGGCCAGCCCTGCGAGTAAAGTAACGAGTAAAGTAACAAGTTACTTTATAGCCACTGGTGTGGCGCAGAGATGTGATAGGTGGGTCGCGAATGGACGCGATGCACGGGAGTTTTTTATTTTTTAATTTATTTTTTTACCTCAGGCCGGAATCGAACCTGGGTCCTCGCGGGCGTTAGTGGACTGTAACAGCCGGAGACTCGCAACGGCAGGGGACTTTCACAGCGCCGGATCCGCGGAGCCTCGCAACGGCGGGTGTTTGTGGCGGTGGGTGCGGTACCGGCGCAGCGGCGCTGTGAAAGTCCATGGCCCACCTATGTCAGAGCCAGCGGCCCACCGGGCAAAGTCCCGAATCTCCCGATGGCCAATCCGAGCCTGCTCACACACACACAACTGAAACCAAAATCATTTACAGCGTTGCAGTCGGGAAGAAAAGGAATGTGGAGCGGCACCTCACCACTTCACAAGGAGTTTAACCGTGACACTTTTCGAAATCCCGTTTGTGTTACACTTTACAAATAGGCCTATGTTTATTATAATTTTTTAACGCAAGCCGTCATCGCCACGAGGAGCACACAGCCTCTGTGAGTGAGCGAGACAGGAGAGAGAGAGAGCGAGAGAGCTAGAGAGAGCACACATTTATCTATTTAATATAGCCTAGGTGTAAAAAATAAAGTAATAAATCATTCCAATGTGTGCTATAGGACAGTAAAAAAAAAAAAAAAAAGTTTAAAAGGGGAGTGATTAGTAAAATATGCATAAATAAAAAGAAATAATATTAACTAGGTAACATAAGATAAGAATAAACAAGTTTAAATTATTTGTTATTGGTTTTGATCATATTCTAAAGATTTTTGGATTATTGAAAAGTATACAGCTCCCTTTGGATTATTGAAAAGTATGCAGCTTTCAATTTTTTGCTCAAAGTGCACCAGATTGAGGCATTTCACTTCAACATAAAAAAAAAAACTTCCCGGGGGTGCATGCCCCCGGACCCCCCTAGAGGAGGTGAGGTCCACCCCCAAATAAAGCAGGTTAAAATAATTAAACTGCATACATTTTATTTTAATAAACACTGAAAACGGGTCCCACAGACCCAAACAGCACACAAAGGTTAAAGGTAGCATATAATAATGTTAAAATGTGCTAAATATATACGCTGCAAAAAAACGAAAAAAGAGGAGTAAAAGTAGCACGACTTGTTTTATTTTTTTGAAAGTAGCTCTCATCCTAAAAAAGGTTGGAGACCCCTGTTCTAGAACGATACATTTGACAATTTTAAGCTTGGCCTACCATTTTATTGGAGCGATGAGGAACAGGTGGGGCTTGAAAAGGCCCACCTGTTCAAAGTGGGGAATGACAGAAAAAGTTTGAGAACCACTGCTTTATAGAGAGTAACGAAGTAATTAAAGTAAATATGTAATATGTTACTTTTTTTTAGTAACAACCCCATCTCTGCCTGCCAGTACCTATCTTTAACTGGTTCTTTGACCTTAGCCAGTATTTCCCAGATTCTGATTTAGCCTAGACCCTCAATTACTTTGTTGGCCTGACTGTCAAGACATTTTTGGCTAGCCTTCTGAATCTCATACAAATACCTTCCTAAATGGCTGGTTATTGTTTTTTTTTGTTGGGTCCTTGAGTTCTGACAAAACAATCTGGACAGAATCTGTGAAGAATTTTTGTGAAATAAGAATTAGACGAAAGAAAAGGGTGAACAACCACCATTCTCTAGATGACTGACTTGGGATACCTTAATTTTAAAGGCAAAAATGAACTCTACAGTAGAGATCTCAAGGAATTACTGTTTTTTGTCGTCAACAACCTTGCTAGTTCTGGGTGTGTCCAAAGATATATAGCCTAGTCTGGTTTATTGCATCTAGACGTAAAAATAACAGAGCCATACTCCTTAATTTGTTTCAGAAAACACTGCCCTATCTCCATGTCTTTCAACATCTTCTCGCAGCACGTGACTACAGACAAGCCCGGCTAAAGCCCTGCTGACACCTCCATCTCAGAGTATTTCTAAATGGAGAACGACTGGCCATAATACGCCTTCATCTCCTATTAATTATCATCAATAACGCCTCCCTGCCCATTTATCTCTCTCACGCATCCACTAACCACTTCTACTGATCGTCCCAACCCCCTGGTACACACAACCCATCCCCCCATCGCACACACAGATACATACATGCACTTACATCCAAGCACATCACACACTCACCAACCCCCATACAAATACCTCCTTCAATTGCTAATTTCCCCCTCCCCCTATGTTCTCCATCATCCCTCGCTTCCATTCTTTCTTTACCTCACCAACCCACTCATCACTTCCTCTCAGCCCCCACCCCTTCAAGCCTCCCCCACCATCCTCCACCAACACAAGCCGATCTGACTACTCAAGCGACATTTTCATTGCGTTGACCAAGAAGACAAGAGCAGGGAAGGTGAGGATCTCCTTAGCCATCCTGCAGAAATGCTGACAGAAAGAAAATCCATTCCAAGCTTTGCATCTATTGGTAGCAGTCAGCTTATTCAGAACTCCTATCCAATCAAATTTAAGTATAACCTGTTTGAAGGTTGCCTAGTCCACATGTAGCATCTAAAGGTCATCATTTGTTTTTGCAATTGTATTATTATTGGACACGACAAGTAAGGGTACACCTGACACTTTTTTGTCTTTTATGTATGCAAGGAGTGAGGAGCAAATACAATTCTGTGTTGCACCTCTGATGCATTAGAATTGCTTTTGGGGGGATGGAAAAATGTTGGAAAATGGCGTTTAGGAGGGTCCTCGAAAAAGAAGTGTGCTGTTTTTGAAAAACAAGCTATTGTCAGCAAACAGAGCAGATACTTTAGTGTCATCACAGATGATGGATGAGCATCAAGGTCCATTTTATCTTGAGAATGTTTTTCACACTGCCAATAGTATGATACAATATCTGAAAGCATTCATCAAAAAACATGATGCCATTTTGGGCTGGGTTTATTTGAGGGATGGTCATTTTTTATATATTTTTGGATTGTGAACCAGAGTTTCCTTAATGGAATGACACATGGAGATTTCCAATATACACAATGCACGCCTAATGTTATTCTATTATTTAAAAATGGTTAAATGGTTTGTAGGCATTTTATATGCATTTTATATCACAAATATTTGTATATGATTCATTGGTAAAATAAAAGAAGACCTTGGCAAACAATGCTTTTTTGCTTCAACCAACACCCTTCAGATATAAAATATAAATTGTTATATTTATATTTTTTTAAAATAGCAAATTACTTGACACTACACATCAAATAAATATTAGGAGCCTTTCTAATTAAAACACAAACTTTTTAACAAAACTATATGTATGTTTTGTGGGTCAATTTGTTTATGCGAACCAGGAGGATGATTTCCATGTCAGATTATTTTCATCATCCCTCTTCTCTTCAGCCTGCTGTCTTGTTTTTTTTCAAGCTTTCTTGCCTTCTGGTACACACAGGTATGGATTGGAAATGGACTGTTTTGGCTACTGAGTGGACACACCGAGCAGCTTGGAGACTTTGGCAGGGCCATCTTCTGCCACCTTTTCAGTGTTTTCCTTAACACATTTTAAGTTGTGTATATACTGTACTGTTGAAAAGATGGGATGTTTAGCCTTTCAATTATATCTTACTACCGAAAAATATCTCATAAAATAATGACTATAACCGAGCTACGATCATGAGAAAAAGGTATTTTTAATATTAGCCAAAGAAGTATTCAAGGGGAACTCAAGCTGAAACATTCACTTTCCCACTCCTTTAGACCACCATTGGATTAGCTATTAGCGATGATGTTTTTTTACTCAGTTGAGGGAAAGTTGGGTTTAAGTGATATTGCCTTTGCCGTAAAGTTGATCGTTCGCTGTTTCAACACCATATTTATGAAGAGCATCAATATGGTTGTGATTCTTGGCCACATGTCAATGTCTATGATGCAGAGCCGGCCCGACCCATTAAGCAACATAAGCGGCCGCTTAGGGCCCCGCAGCCACTGAGGGGCCCCCTAGCAAAAAAATTTTTTTTAATCTCAGTACACCGTCGCCGTGATAAGTATGTTTAATTAATTGTGTTAATATGCCTAGATTGCCTACTCTCAAAGTCATCTATTATATTATTGAGTCAATAATATAATACATTAACCGTGCTTTACCTGAACCTCATCATGACACAAGAGAGGACGGCAGGATTGTAATTTCCCGTGTTCAGTGAATGCAACAGAGGCAAGACACCAGACCAACCAGAGAGTTGAATGGAAATAAACATCCGTCTTATTGGCTGACAGGTACCTATCATGTGAGCTGTGACAATGTTTAAAATAAACTGTCATTTGGACTCAGAGTTTTTGAAGATGGACATAAGACATTTTTTTCTTAAAAAAGACGACAATTCTCAGGTGGTGGCTCACACAACAACCCCAGAGCCACCACCTGAGCCAGGTAAACAAGGTATGTACATGTCAGTAGACTTCCAAGTTATGTGAACATGTAAGCAAAGCATAAATTACAGCTACGTTGACGTTACTTCGCGGGGGTAAGCTAAACCGTTAGCAAGTAGCTATAGCTAGCCAGATATATTAAATAAACACTTTGTCATACAATCTAAATGTAATGTTTTTTAGCGTTACCTGGTGATTTCAAAGAAAGCTCTAAGGGAAATGTTGACTTACTGTTCGACATGAAGCTAGAAGCTACCTTACAGTACAGTTGATCCTGAGTCCTGTCAGTTAAAGTGTTTCATAGCTAGCTTAGCTAAGCATCAACCTAGCACTGAAATATATGGATGTTATGTGACAGTATTTCTGAGAAACAGTCAGCTGTAAGGGTGGCATAGTTGCCACTGCTTTACGTGTCAACAGCATGTTTGAACGTATTAGCAGCAGTAAATGTGGCTGTTTGGCCACTGACGTTGTCATAACAACACCTGAATTTAAATGTGCAACCTCTTTTTGTGACAGATTTTTGCATTAAATTATAATTCTTCTGAATGATATTCCTATTGACAGCTAGTTTCTATGTGAACATTATGATATGGACAGCCAGAGAGAATAAATGAAAAACAGTTATGAAATACTACAGCATATGACAAAACAAGATCACAGTTTAAGTGATTTGTAAAATATCCATAAAGAAAATTCTGTTTACAGTTCTGTTTCATATGGGTGTTGTGAGATGTATCCATAGATCTCTTAATGTTGCTCTGAAAGTGCACCAGATTGA